CTCTACCCAGGGGGATAGCTTGAGGCTCTGTCTCAAAAAAATAAAAAATAAAAAAATAAAATAAAATAAAATAAAATAATTTAAACATAAATTTAATATAAATCATAAAATACATTTTAATATAAAAAGAAATGTTTTAATTTAATTTAAATATATTAATTTAATATAAATAATAAAAATATAAATTTTATATACTTAATTTAATATAAATAATAAAATACATTTTAATATAAAAAGGAATATAAACTTTTTTAAATGTCAAAAATCAATTCATTTAATTGAAACATATCACTGAGTGTCCACTCTGTGCAAGAAACTTAGAAAAGGTAGAAGGGGAGAAACATACATAATCTCAAGAAACAACTGCTACTAATATGTTGAGTATTTTTCCTGTCTTCCTGTTCTTAGGAAATATATTTTGTGAACTGACTCTACTACATCAGACAACCAAGAAGGTAATCAACAAATAAAATTTTCCATGTAGGTATGACCCTTTTATTTAAATGAACAGGACCCTTGTCACTTGTATTGACTTAACAAGTCCTATTCAAGCATATGAAGCTTGAAATTCAAGGAAAAGTAAAGAAGATGAATGTGGAAAAATTGTAAAAAAAAGTTCAATTCACATTTATTAAGCCTTTGGAATCCACTTTCACAAAACTTCAATATTGTATCATTTTAAGTAGTTGTTAAAACTACAATTTAGTAAATTTCCCTAGTCCTCAACGTTGCTTTCCTTATATAAACAAGAGATTCAGGATTTGGGAGATGAGACTCTAATTTTTTTTTTTTAAGTGGCTTATACCAACAGAAATTTATTCTCTCACATTTCTGGGGACCAGAACTCTGAAATCGGGGTATCGGGCCATGATCTCTTCAGAGATTCTGGGAGAGAAGGCATTCCTTGCTTCTTATGGCTTCTGTTGGCTGCCAGCATTCCTTAGCTTGTAATTGCAATTTGTGCCTCTGTCTTTACATCACCTTCTCCTCTGTGTGTATCAAGACCTGGATCTTGACAGTGAAGGTAAAATCTGAAACTCTTCCTTCAGATCTGTTTTGCTCCCAAGGAAATCTGAAGCATTTATAAACCCATTCATTATCTATAACATCTAAGCTTTTTCCTTATCATCATGACATCAGAGATACAATAAGTTTGGCTATCAGAAATAGTGATCAGAGGAATAGTGATCAGAACTGTTTACCCATAATTTTTACAGCATTGAAATAATCTCAGTTTTAAGTTTTGTATCTTATTGTTTTCAGTTGTCTTTCTAACAAACATTTTCCATTACTTTAAAAATTACCTGTAAAAGTGATAATATGTAGAACTTCCATAGTTGACCACCTGGTCCCTACATTGACCACTTCCTTAAGTTGACCTAATTTTCATAGCCCAGACATGCACCACATGAACATATCAGTACAATAGGCCTAGTTCCTCATGTTGACCACCTCCATATGTTGACCAGTTTGTTATAGTCCCATGGGTGGTCAACATATGTCCTACTGTATTCAATGGCTACATAATCTGTTGTATGAATATATCATAACTTTCTTAACATTTTTCTTTTTGGACTGGTTTTCCAATTGGTTATTGTAAACCACACTACAATGAAAAGTTTGAGCAAAATGTTTCCTTTCAGATTATTTCCTCAGCAAAGATCTCCCCAGAAGGGCATTACTAGTTCCAAAGACATAAAAATGTCTTAAGTTCTTAGCAAAAACTTTTTTTTTTTTGAGACAGAGTCTTACTTTGTTCTCTTACTTTGCTAGAGTGTTCGCTGTCATAGCTCACAGCAACCTCAAACTCTTGGGCTCAAATGATCCTCTTGCCTCAGCCTCCTGAGCAGCTGGGACTACAGGCATCCACCACAATGCCTGAATATTTTTTTTTAGAGACGTGATCTCACTGTTACTCAGGCTGGTCTCAAACTCCTGAGCTCAAGCAATCAAACTGCCTTGGCCTCCCAGAGTGCTAGGATTATAGACATGAGCCACTAAGTCTGGTTAGTACATACTTTCAGTTGACTTTCACTAACGCGTATGAAAGTGCCTATTTCATTATACCCTTACCCAAGTCCTGGATAATCTTAAAATAAGGGGGAAATATTTTGATTAATTTGATAGATAAAGTAGTATCTCATTTTACCTTACTTTTTAAAAAATCATGTTGAGGTTCAATTCTTGGCATTTTGGTTTTTTTCTTCTGTGGATTTAATTGTTCATTTCTTTTTTAAGATGTTAATGTTTTATTAATACTTGTAAACTATAAAAATATAAATCTGTGTCTCATTTATTATGGATATTTTTCAATATCCACTCAACCACATTTACCTCAAGTCTCCTCAATGTGACAGGCACTGGTCTAAGCACCAAGGATGAAACAGACATATTCTCTGCCCTCAGTGATCTAGTAAGGGAAGCAAGCAAGTAAACAATGATTGTAATAAACCTTTTGCATGGTCCACTAACAGTACAAATAGGCTATAGTGAATGCCCTAATAGAAGTGGGTAGTCAATTCTGCATGTAGGGGCCAGGAAAGGGCTTCACCGAGGAGATAATTTCTAATCAAGCATAAAAAGCTGACAATATGGACAGGGAACAAAGTGGAATAAGGCATTCCAGACAGAGAAATAGAGCCAGGGAGTCGGCTAGTTACAGAAACTTCAGTAGCTGAGTAAAATGTCAGGCGAGTCCAGAGGAAAAATGGGCTGGAGGGATCTCAGAAGTCATATGATTTTTTAAATTATACAAATTGTAAAAATTGCTCAAAGCTTTTCATTGTAGTGTGGTTTACAATAACCAGTTGGAAAATTTTTTAGATTTTCAGTGAAGTCGGATTAAGCTTTTCTTTTCTGTACTCTTATATAATGCTTCAGCTAAGAAAGTCCTTCTGCAGAGATCTAATGCTTATCTTCATTTTCTTCTAGTTTCTGTTTTTAATACTTTTGTTTTATTTTACATTTAACTATTTAATCCATTAGGAGTTGACTTTGATATATGACAATAAGCCTCATTTGGATGTTTTGTTTGCTGTAATGATTATCACATATACATGGGTCACTTTAGCAGCTTACTGTTAACCTTGTTTTGCTAATGGGTAAAAACAGGGAGTGCTAAATATCTAATAAAGAGTATTTCCAGGTGGGGACAACCCTAGCGTGAAAAAAAGAAATTTCACTGGAGTTTGCTATTTTAATACTTAAATATCAACACTCAGAGAGGGGAAAGAAAGAAGGAACACGTCACTGTTGGCTTGTTTTCTCCTACCAGAAATCAGGTAGAGTCAGGCTTCCTCCCCTGAAGGTGGCTAGGAATTAAGAGGGGTTTGTGTCTCTGTGCAGTACAGGCTGGACACAGGGCTGTGAGCTGAGAGCTGTGATTGGTTGAAAAGGCAAGCGTAATCCGATCAGCGCGGCTCTGGGTTCCCCGAGACTGCCTTGTTGTTAAGTCATAGGATTCTAAAGGCCTGCCTACCAATTACAGTGCATCTTACTGGAAAAGCCTTCCCGAGAGGGCCAGGAGTCCCTAGCAACCCCCAACGGCTTTTGAAATCTGAGGGAGAAGGACTGTAGTCTTCCTGCTCTTACCCGGGGAGCATGCCTATGCCTCAGGTAAGGCAGGCTCTCAGAATGGCCACCCCAACCCCTGAAGAGCCCTTAGATAAGCAAAATGAAACACTGGACAACGAGGAGGGGGTGGGATTTAAGGAACTGGAGGGTCTGAAGGAAGCCTTGGCAAATCTCCGAGGACTGTCAGAGGAGGAGAAGGGTGAGAAGGCGATGCTTCGCTCCCGCATCCAAGAGCAGTCTCAGCTCATCTGCATCCTGAAGCGGAGGTCAGATGACGCCCTAGAGCGCTGCCAGATCCTGGAGATGCTCAACACAGAGCTGGAGGAGAAGAGAGTGCAGGGGGAGGAGAAGCTTAGGGCCAAGACTGAACATGCCCGGAAGCTGGAGGAGCGCTTTATGACCCTGGCAGCCAACCATGAGATGATGATCCGTTTCAAAGATGAGCACAAGAGTCAGAACGTCCAGCTGAGGGAGGAGAATGAGAAGCTGAAGCTGGAGAACAGCAGCCTCTTCAGCCAGGCTCTGAAGGATGAGAAGGCCAAAGTCCTGGAACTCACTTCTGGGAGTGAGGCCCTCACCAAGGAGCTGGAGACTCTGAAACAGAGGTGTGCCCAGGATGCCTGCCAGGCACAGGCCCGTGAGAAGGAGTTGCTGGAGCTACAGAGCCAGCAGGCCTGCACCCACGCAGAGGAGAGACAGCGGCTGCACAGCCAGCTGCAAAGCCTCAAGCAGCAGCACCAGAAAGCCGTGGAGCAGATGGCAAAGGCTGAGGAGATGCACAGCAGCCTGAGCCAGGAGCTGCAGGCCAGGCTGCACACAGTCACTCGGGAGAAGGAGGAGCTGCTGAAGCTGTCTATGGAAAGGGGCAAGGTGCTTCAGAACAAGCAGGCAGAGATCCGCCAGCTGGAGGAGAAGTTGGAGACAGCAGATGTGGCCAGGAGGCACGCACTAGAGCGGTTTGAGCAAGAGGCAGTGGCTGTAGACAGCAACTTGAGAGTTCGGGAGCTTCAGCGCAAAGTGGATGGAATCCAGAAGGCCTATGATGAACTCAGGCTGCAGTCAGAAGCTTTCAAAAAGCACAGCCTGGATCTTTTAACCAAGGAGCGAGAACTCAATGCCAAACTTCGCCATCTCTTCCCATAAGGAAGTCTCTGCTTCCTCTTGCCTCCAATTTAGAATTCAAATATTTGTGGCTTAGCACTATGACCAGAGCAAAGATGATATCCCATTTATTATACTTTTAAGCACAAAAGGCAGCTCAGAGCAAAACTACTATGATATTGTTACCATTGTAAAACGAACATTAATTTTCAGTTCTGCCACCTAGAATACACAAGATTTACCAGATGTCCTGTGCCTTGGAAATCTTCCTGTATTTGGTAGCATTTTCTTCCCTTAACTCATACCTTATCTATTCTTGACCACAGATATCTTCATATTCTTAAATTTTTAAATTAGCAGCTTGTATGATTTAAGTCAATTTAAAACATGCTGTTGTGTAAAAAAATAGATAATTAACTGTTGTACATGGATAGGTGTGGAAATTGTAAGCAGGCAGATACCAGCACAATAATAGCATGGACACTTTATTTTGCACTAACATGGAAAAAGAAAATTCAGATCATTACTTCTTTACCAAAGTAGCCAACTTTATAACATGCTGTGTGAGAAATAAAATTCAAATAAGTTAAATCAACATTATTTTTATTTTTCCCACAAGCCCAGGTCATATTCCATTTTCTTAGTTTTCTCTTGAATAAAGATGAGATTTATATGTATAATAATGCAAATATCAATAGTTTTATTAAATATTTCACAATATTCTATAGGAAAAGCCTCAATTTGGGATAAGTCATAGCAGACTGGATATAACCTACATAATAACTCATAGCAATTCTTTTTGTTTTCAGTAACATTTTTCTTTGGTAATTTTTGCTTTTTTAAAAAAATACTAAGCTGACCATGTATACTTACAGCATTTTGGTAGTAATACCCAAATTTTATAGGAATAGTTATAAGAACATAATAGGCATATATGATTATGTAAAGTTCTTAAAGAAGTTCTGAAATTTCTTAAATGTAGTCAGAAAAATATACTTTGTATTTCCTTATTTTAGTTGACATATGAACATTATTATGCATATCTCTCAGAACAGATTGTAATGTAGTATTTTTCTCACCCATTCAGAGTACCAAGTGTTACACATCAAATTGGATTTACTAAAAAAAAAAAATTACTTGGTGACTTTTTAATAAACCATTTCCAGGTGTTACTTTATATCAGGTAATTCTTAAGACCCATTTTCTCACACTTCTATTAAGATTATACTATTAAAAACAATTTTTTTCTCATCAAAATAGAAACCAGGTTGTTGGTTTCAAAAGACTACTTCCTTTAAGAGGTTACCAATAATCAGAACATAAGAGCTAGTTTAATCATGCGTATCCTTTATTGAGTCCATACTATTTATCACTGTGCTAAAGCAATTTGGATGAAAGGTTTTGTTTAATAAACATCTTAGCATTATTCAAGAATGTAATTATGGGCCAGGCGCCGAGGCTCACGCCTGTAATCCTAACACTCTGGGAGGCCGAGGCAGGTGGGTTTCTCCAGCTCAATAGTTCCGGACCAGCCTGAGAAAGTGCAAGACTCACTAAAAATAGAAAAACGGAAGCAAGAGGATCGCTTGAGCCCAAGATCTTGAGGTCACTGTGAGCTATAATGCCACGCACTGTAGTCGGGGCGCCAGAGTGAGACTTTGTATTTGTTTCTATTTTAAAAATTGGAAATATGTTTCAGTAATTTGCATAAGGTCACCTGGTCACCGGGATTTTGATGACTACACCACCATAATGATACTGACTTCTGGGTGCCAGGTGCTGGAGTAGACGCTGAGAATAAGCATAGAGAAAGAAAAACGTTTCCTGCCTTGGAAGAGACCTCCCCCTCCCCGCAGTCTAGTATGGCGGGGAGATTACAAACGCGGTGACGTTTTCACAGGCGGCGCTATGAGGTCGTAGAAGTGAGGGTGGGGGACGTGCAGTATCTAACCCCGCCTGGGGATGGGTTGGGATGGTTGGGAGGACTTCCACGGATGACTGTCATAGGAGTTGACCAATAAGCTGGTCGAATTTCTTCAAGTGGAGAAAAAGGAGAAAGGTTTGAGACAGCATCATGGAGATGGCGTAGAGATATTTTAAAACGCCCCTGAATACTTGGGGAAATCATAAGTAGTTAAGAGAAGATGCGCAGAAGCGTCCACGCGTCTCTACAGAGCTGAAGAGCAGGTTGAAGCTAGAATACGGGGACCTTTTTTTTTTTTTTATCTTTTTAGAGGCCAGGGTCTCGCTCTTGGTCAGGGTGGTCTCAAACTACTGAGCTCACGAGAACTTCCCATCTCAGGATCCCAGAGTACCGGGCTTACAGGTGTGAGCCGCAGCGCGGGACCAACATACCGGAACCTTGAAAGTCAGGCAGGCCCGCTCGGTTGGCGGCGGTGGGGCGAGCGTAGTGGGACTGAACTAAGATAGAGGAGGAGCGAGAGAGGGAGGGGGAAAGTCCGAACGGAAGCCGCCGACCTCCGGTTCGGCCAGTGCTCGGGTCTTTCCGCTGGGGGCCTGGTGCGCATGCGTGCCATCGCCGCCCCGCCTCGGTCTCCCCGGCGCGTCCGAGCTCTGCCTCCCAGTCTCCAGTTGCATCCGGTTGAGAGTAGTTCTTGGTATCCGAGGTTTGGGTCCGTCCTGCCACGAGGAGGTCCCATTGCAGAGGCTAGGCGGTTCGGGAAGCGGGCTAAAGGGCCGTTTGGGTAGGAATCCTGGGGTCCCGGGTAAAGGAGAATCGTCCCTGTCTACGTTCCAGGGACTCCTCCTTAGATGGGGTAGGGTACATCCGTAAGATCGCGGGGTGGGCAGGGTAGAGGTACATGTCCTCGAAAACCGAGCCACCAGAAAAGAGACAAAGGTGCCTGAGTCTAAGGATGGGACTGTTTCAAGTCATGCTAAAGAGTTTGTACAATGTTGATCCATATAAAATAGCCGTTTAGTAGATCCTCAGTGATCGGATTTGGGCTACTTAGGATGTAAGGTTTGCCTTACCCCTTTGAATGATTTTAAAAGGAAACTGGTAAATGAGAATAGAAAATCAAAGATGGGCGTCTAAGATAGAGGAATGTGCACCTATCTTGTGTCGAGTTCTTTTCACTTCACCTTCATGGCAACTTTTAAAGGGAGGTTCAGTTCTCCCTATTTTGCAGATGAAAAAAATGAGACTCGGGGTGACTCTTCCAAGCCAGGAAGCTTAGGAGAGGCAGGAGTGAGATTTGAACCCAAGGCTCTCGGGGAAAGGGCAGCTTTATAAGTGTGCCAGTAAGAACAGGGCCCCCACACTTGGTTAAACGTTCACAGTTGCTGGCTTGAAATTCTTAATTTTTTTCCACACAGAGCTTCGCATTTTCATTTTTGGGGTTTGAGCACTGCCATTTAAGTAGCCAGTCCTGCTTTCTGGCTCTTTAACCCATGTTTTCTCCCAGTATACAAACTACCTTCAAAATAGCCACAAAAAGTCATTTTTCCCCCTTTGTGCCTCATGGCACTTTGTATTCTACTCTCTCTGAGATCATCTTGTATTTAATGTGGAATGCAGAGCCACACTAGGGGATAAGCAACCAGTTTTAGCTATTGTGGTATGCTGCTCTGTAAAGTCATGCTTATCACTGGAACAAATTGACAAATATGTGAATTCACCTCCCTCCAAACTACTACCTTTGAAGGGAACTTTAAAAAGGAAACAAAACTTTCTAAAGCAGACCTATATCCCTGGTGAAATTTTCTGGAACATTCACAAGCAGTAGCCCTAAAATAAAAAGTCAGCGGAACAGAGATGTGAAACCAAATAATGTGTGAGTAGTGCTGAGCAGCTGATAAGCATAATCTTTTGTGTTACCTAAATTGTATGCCCTTCACTGTGCCTCTGAGGAACTTGTCTGGTTCAAAGAAATCATTAGAGTGTAGAAAGAAGAGCTAAAGGAAAAGTGAGCTGTGAACTGATGTTTTCAGAATACTGACTCTGCTTCAGTTAATATGAATGAATTCAAGTTAATTTGTTTCTAGCAAACAAAGTACTGATAGAAAATCTATGTCTCCCCAACTCTATTTAACAGTTATTGAAAACATGGTTTGAAGAAGCAACTGCCTAGGTGCCTGGTGTCCCATTCAGCCCTTATTGACCCAGTCACCTGTGGAGTAAACATAGAGCAGGGATGATTTTGTTCCCCATTGGCAAGACCTGGACAGACATTTGAGATACCTCCTCTTGGCATACAAATAAAGAGAACTGTGCTCTTAACTGCTCTCCCAAAAGTCTACCTTGCCTTTCCAGACTGCTTGTCAGCCTCATTGGCCAAAATGAGTCATATGCAAATAACTCAGCCAAGTATCTGCGTACGGTTTCTTGCCACGAATCAGGCTAGCCTATGCCACGTAGTGGGCGGTACTACCTGACAAAGGCAAGGCTCTCCTAGCAGAGTTGAAGGGAGGTGGATGTTGGGTGGACTCACAACAGTGTCTGCTTTGCTTCTAGCTTGCCAACAGTCTTATCAGGGAAGGAGTCTTTATCTTAAATCATGAGTCTTGGCCTTTAAAAACGTTGCTGGAATTTGGGAAAGTGACCAAGAATAGGTTTTTCAAATCATTGTTTTTCTTCCTAAGGAGTAACTGGATATTTTCTACACTATTAAAAACATCTTATTAAAGTTACATACCTGGGGCTGTACAGATGATCTCCCTATTTGGCTGTTCTCCCTAAAACCTACTGTTTGTCAAACTTGGAAAAAAAAATTTAAACAAGAAAAGCTCTTTCTTGGACAGATGGGTCTGATCATTCCTTACACATTCTACTGACTACAGTGCCTTCACAACCCCCTCCTCAGTCCCACAAAGGGACTCCTGCCTTAGTTACTTGCAAGACAGCCCCCATTTAATGCTCTAATCCACTCTTACTGGTACTAGTCTAAAATAATTTTCTCTTTCATGTTTAAGGGTTATTTATCACATTATTGTAATGGCAAAAGATTGGAAATAGCTATACAATCATTAAGGAACAGGTCAAACAAACTTTGGGGGGCAGTGCCACTGTGAGTAAAAGACTGAGGAAGCTTTATATGTACTATTATAGAAGTATCTCCAGGATATACGTGAAGAAAACCCTAAATAGAACAATATCTGTAGTATACTATCTTCTGTGTGAGGGGAAGAGGAAGAGAGGGAAATAAAAAATGAACATA